CAGATTTGTGTTAGACCAGGGAGAGGCAGTTGCGTTTCATGCGGTGGTTGGTGCAGGCAGTGTTGTCCCTCATTCTGGTATTAACCAAACAGTCGTATTTGAAACAGTTCTTCTAAACATTAACAATGGTTACCACTCACATCATGGACTTTTCGTTGCACCGACAGCTGGTCTTTATATATTTTCCACCTCTGTTCTAGACGGCGGATCCAAGCCGTTGATTCACGCCGATCTTGTTAAGAACGGAAATGTTCTAGCACGTGCGTATGGCCATGGAAACGGTGGATATCCGGAACAAGGATCTGTTACCGTGGTAACACAGTTAAATGCGGGGGATGAGGTATGGGTGCGACTATCGTGTTGCCAGGGTTCACCAGTCACTGGCAATAGATACACAAGTTTCACTGGGGCATTGCTTATGTTAATGTAACTAAGTCAATAAAATATGACATTGAAAACAAATATGTAAAGATATCTTTGCTATAGCTATATCGCAGAGTGAGGATATAATTATGCAGCTTGACTCAAACCCGAAACCTTCAGAATAATATTCCGCAGAGTCATTTTTTTCCAATAATTATTGATCAGCTGAATACCGTGTCAAATATCATTATATCATATTTTATTGTCACAGGGTAGAATAAATATTACAACTCCTGGCGTAGGTTCGTCAATATTTCATGAAAATAAGTTTGTATACATGAATAGATTGGACGTCGAAAACGACATGAATTGAAAATAATGGCATTTTGCGAAACTTTTCCCAATTTCTTTGCTATTTGAGGGATTTTAATGAAATAAAAAGCGTTGGCACTTGGATTGATCCTTTCAGATGGCGACCAGAAAGAGATAACCGTGATCTGGTCTTTTATTGCAGTAGTGTTCTTGTTTGTTCCGCATGATGTTTTTGTTACGTTTGGGGCCTTATATCTTTATATACATACATGTTGTATATAGACCGATTATGTAAAATTTTTGATTATGTGACTAGCGCCTGTGTAACACAGTAAGCGATATTAATGTATATTTCGACATCTTTTTCGGTAATTTACGTGGATTGTAAGTGCCGTTTGCAATGTGAAAATTATTTTCTTTGTTATTTTCACAATATATTACTTTTAATTATATTTTCAAAATTTTCATGAAAATAAGCATGAATAAGCATGCTTTAAGTTATAGTTCCAAACTGAAAACTTTTAGAATTAATGTAAGTAGAATTGTATGAGAAAAAAGACAAAGTCACATAGAGAAGGAAAGTTCGCAGGAATTTGGAAGAAGGAAAATGTTAAAAGTCAATGTAAACCCTTATCTCAAATCTGTTTCATACAACGTACAACCCAATTGGACATCGAACAACATGAATAAAAGTACAATCAGACTCAAAAAGCAGTTCATTTACATACTAGCGAAACACTATAATGGTAAATAATTTGATATTAAAGGTTAGATTTGTATACTTTCAAGTATCAAGTACGTGCAGAGCCAAAACTGTTATATAACTGCTAAAACATATGAAAAACTATTAGAGAATGCTAGAAAACTTTCAATGTGATGAAGTGAGCGTGGCAGATGAAGGGAGATAACAAAATATAGCTTTACATAGCAGATGTTGTTGCATTTACTTCCCTTTAGTTAAAGTTCGGTAATATTCAAGTGCTTTTATTGAATACAATTTATAATGTATTTATAGAAAAGTTTTCAGATCGGCAGGAACTGGTGGTCTCCGCCTACTCTATCGTGAACCTGAACTCAACCAGAGCACGACCTAAAGTATGTAAGCTACAATAAGGTCTTCCTGCAATGACACGAACCCCAGACCGTGCCAGGTGCACTCCTGACCCTCGACTTTCCAGAATCATTATATAAATATGTAATTGAATATACACAGTGATCCTTACAATGAACAACAATTGACTAAACTATTACATAAGGACCTGCAATGACATTGTACGAAAACAGCCGGGTAAAAGGCACGTTTACATGCACCGGATTTAGAACATATTTCAGATTTATCGCTGCTCCTTGAGGGCGCTCAGTCTCATCAATATTCTCATTGTTTATTACATGTTCTCAACTATCCTGTTATAGAACCAGTATTCTGTTAGCGTTGATTAACTTCATTTGGATGATGATTACAGGCTGTTTTCTCCTTAATTAATTAACCGACTCATTTGAAATAACACTGTAGCAATGTTTGAGAAATTAGTGTTTCTTTGTTAGTGACAGAGTGTAGAGATTACACACTAAGAGTTCTAAAAGAACAGAAATATATAATGGTTTTGTCAATGAGCACATCGTTCATGTCTACATTATATGCCGTAAGGAAGATTAACATTTTATTATCGTGTCTCTTAATAGTTGTGTTATAAACGTTCTTGGTAGCTGTCCATATTCCCCGAGGAACGTTCAATTTTCCTCAAACGGTGAGTTGATTGTTTGTCCATGTTTGCGGTATATAAAATCAATGGTTAAAAGTTGATATAACAATTTTATCGCCTTGACCTAAAGTGTGAGGTGTTTTTAACGCTGTTTGGCAAAAGCACTCGCCACATTTCTGTGCATGGCAAAGATATTCCTGAAAATGATAACATTCACTAGGATTTTTATTGCACGGATTGCTCGTGCTACTTCAACACCATTATAAGAGAACATCAATATCATATAGAACTTTACAGACGTATATATTCATTGTGTCATAGATCTATTGGTGATGAATTTCGTTTTCGAGTGTCTGTGTTTTGTTAACAGCAGGAAACGTTTTTTGAAATCTAACTATTTATAAAGAAAAATATTATACATTCTACTGATCTGCTTATGAACACTGATGTCAACTTAACAGATTACACCCTCCCCCCCCCCCCCCCCAAAGAAAAAAAACTTTGTTTATTTTGAAGAAATTATACTAAGATTTAAATGAGCCAAGTATTGTATAAATTGTACTCCATTGAAGTAGCTATATTATTTTAGTAGTAATATTAACTCTCCCGCGATAGTTTAAATTAAAAGCTCAAATATATATATCATGTTATAATGATTGTTTCTAATGCGTGATCTATTACGTAAATTAATTATCACCTCGTGTTGTCGTGTTTGCATCATTCGAGTGGAATGTTTGCATAATTCGAGTGGAATAAAAAAAAAAGAAAAAAAAAAATTTAACCTCGCGCGGATATCACAGTAAACTGCACATACTATTACCATGTCATTGGAAAAGGCTACTTCGTTTGATGTTTGATTCAAAAGCATATTGTCATAGATTTTAACATTTATACATCGATTCATCATCATAATGCGAACTGTAATGATGTTTTGTAATTGAAATAGATAACTGTTGGAAAAGAAGATATAAATCTATCAGTATTTACTCTTTTCTGTCACGTGACTTCATTTCAAACACTCTTTCATTCTGATTTCAATTTGATTTTCTCAAATTAAACAAAATACAAATATTAGATAATTCATTCACTCGGTTTTCAATTAAACATTGTTTGATAATAAAGATGTTAATTGTTTGATGGAACTATCAAATACTCTCACCCGTTGTCGGGATGAAACAAAAGTGATTAAAAGTGATTATATTAAAGTTACATCTAACAAATAAAAACAATTTGATAATGCAATTGTATAAATTGAATGTACATTGTAAATATAATTTTGAATGTAAAACAACAAATACACGTGTTTATATGATTTCACAATCTATTAAAATTTAATTCATTACTATATACCATTAACCAATCAACGTGAAGAACGTACATCCCAAAATAATGTTTAAAAATATATTTTTGGAACAAAAGTTTCGTTTGCCTCCATATCGAAACGTGTCATTGTTACGTTAAACCTGCAGCCTGTCTTAAAGTATAGAATGTTAATTTATCAAACCTCGCTTACAGATTTAAGACGGAATAATAGTTATTTCATTGGTCTTGGCAACAATATATATATATATTTTTTGTGTATCATATTCTAGTTTATTCAAATTTGGCCAACTGTTTTCTCGTTTAGGAAAGACGCATTCTTTTTCATGGGGACCATATCCCATTTTTTTCATGGGATGATTCGAAAGCGTCAAATTTAAGGTTCAATGGTCACCGCCGTTTAAACACATCTGTGGATAGTTGAACTATTCCATGTTTAACTATACAAAGTGCTAGTGGACGTGAACGGTAGCTTGCTCATAGCACTACCGTCCATAAACAGGCTCAATCAAACCCAGTCTGCAATAACTACAAATTTGCAGGTTTTTTTTTAGTTCTTTTTGGAATTCTTTTTTCTCTCATGTTACTGAATACCATTTCTAAAAAAGCATTGACAAATCAATGCATCTTATTCTTTAAAGCACACTAAGTTATAAATAAACACTATTATATTCTACTTTAGTTTTAAGGAAACAAAAATGTAAAATCGAATACATCTTTTAATGAAACTGGTATTTTATATGTACTTTTTCAAAGATAATCAACATTTGTTTATATGTTGATATTTGCATATTAAGAACTGTTCAACATGTTCAATGTCTTGAACATTGTGCAGAATTGAAGGCATAATAAAGTAAAACAATATGCATTTTTTTAATTTTCAAAGCTTTTATTTTTTACTTACTTTATTTATCAATATCTATATATATACAAATCAATATTTTATTATTTTTACTTATTCTTTACATACTTTATTTACCAGTATATACATACATGCTATAATTTTCAGCCCTCAAAAGCTTTTATTTTTACATACTAAATTGTTCTAACAGGTTCAGACAGTGATGTCGGGGTCCAATTAAATGAAGTAGTGATAATGATCTTTGTACAAAGTTCGCTGAAAAATTACAACTAAATATTTAACATAAAATATATCACATTGTCGCAAAATGGCTAAAAATGAAAAAACGCAGATATATATCGTATCCCACGTATGTAGTATCTTGTATTATAAGTTCGAAATTTACACAAAAAGTCACATATCTCCGATAATTCCAAATTCCAGTCATTCTTTTGATACCATGTATATGAAAATAATGTTCACATTTCGTCAAGAAATTTCACATATCTGTTTGGAAACAATCCCTCCTTGCCCTTACATTCACCATGCCACTGTCCATTTGCAAACATCTTTGTTACAACCACTATATCACCTTCCTGAAAAACAACAACACAAGCTTTTTGTGACCATTCTTTTAAATTATAAAATTTAGGACAAGTCCACGTGTGATTATGTAAACAGGGATCAGACATTTTGCACACAAGCTATAAAAATAGGCCATGATCATCTGCCATGTAAGGAGAGATTAATAGCAACTAAAATATTAGTCGATTTCTACATAAAACGAATGAAATGGCAAGTGCGGTAACTGGATTTATTGATTTGAATAAGTAGAGACCTTGTAAAATGTAATAAAATGTTCATACTAGTACACCAAATGTCAGGAAGGCTATCATTTTGTACTTGTCAATGTCAATATCAATGTATGCTAAAAGAGACAAAGTTGATGCTACCAGAATAATAGCTGAGGCTACTCTAGTCAATAGGTATATAGTCAATAGGTATGTAGTCAATAGGTATGACTACATGTAGCCAATAGGTATGTAGTCAATAGGTATGACTACCTGTAGCCAATAGTTATGACTACCTGTAGTCAATAGGTATGTGGTCAATAGTTATGACTACCTGTAGTCAATAGGTATGTAGTCAATAGGTATGACTACCTGTAGCCAATAGTTATGACTACCTGTAGTCAATAGGTATGTGGCCAATAGTTATGACTACCTGTAGTCAATAGGTATGTAGTCAATAGGTATGACTACCTGTAGCCAATAGGTATGTGGTCAATAGGTATGACTACCTGTATCCAATATGTATGTAGTCAATAGGTATGACTACCTGTAGTAAATAGGTATGACTACCTGTAGTAAATAAGTATGACTACATGTAGTCAATATGTATGTAGTCAATGGGTATGACTACCTGTAGTAAATAAGTATGACTACATGTAGTCAATATGTATGTAGTCAATGGGTATGACTACCTGTAGTAAATAGGTATGTAGTCAATAGGTATGACTACCTGTAGCCAATAGTTATGACTACCTGTAGTCAATAGGTATGTGGCCAATAGTTATGACTACCTGTAGTCAATAGGTATGTAGTCAATAGGTATGACTACCTGTAGCCAATAGGTATGTGGTCAATAGGTATGACTACCTGTATCCAATAGGTATGTGGTCAATAGGTATGACTACCTGTAGTCAATAGGTATGACTACCTGTAGTCAATAGGTATGACTACCTGTAGTCAATAGTTATGACTACTTGTAGTCAATAGGTATGTAGTCAATAGGTATGTAGTCAATATGTATGTAGTCAATAGGTAAAAAAAAGATACATACATGAAGAGTCAGTTGCGATTTGTCATATGGATTGGAAATCCTGGCTTTTGTTACAACTGCTTTTGATGGTAACCGCTTCGGCACTGACGGTGGCTGTAATGAATGATTAAAAACACTGAAACAATGATGATGTAACTGTACATAACATAATATTTTTACATTACACGCACAATTCAATCACTTCTGGTAAGCGTCGCATTAAAATGTCCTTTACCTCATCAAAAAGAAAATGAATGCATGTGTGTTTGAATTATGCAAGTAATTGAACAGTATTTTTGCATGTATTATGGCGGGCGAATATGCGACATTAGGAAATTATCAAAATTCGACTGTACAGTTTTGTAAGTTTGGTTGTTTTCGATCTGCAGCTTGCCAAAATTCAGCAACATAAGGTGAATATTTTTAATTGCTGTAACGTCATACATTTCCTTTTTATAAAAAATTATATTAAATTATCACATCACCATAACTTAGAATATCAAACATAAAGTATACATATATTATCAAATGTCATCAAAATAAACTTTAACTATAGTAAAACATAAGTGTCAAATCTCTTTCCCAACCCCATTTACGCAAAACTTTAAACAAAGATAAAAATCTACGATAACCGTAATTTACAACGGTATCAAGTTTTCTTCGTCCTATGGTGAATAGTTAATTGGTTACAAAATGAACTTTATCAGTTTTAAATTTTGCATTGTACAATATTACAAACTTACTGGCGACTCGTCCCTGTGCATATCTTTCTGTGGTTTTTGTGCTACTCCCGCTCTCCGTTCTTCCTTGGTAGTTTTATTTTCCTGCATTAAAATAATAAAAAGGCATAATTATCATGATTGATACTTTACAAATAGTAAATTGTATTATCCACAATAAAGGTGTTTTTTTTTTCTCGGTTGTTAAGAAGTATAGTTGTTATAGCCTTTTAAGTACTCCATGTTTATCACCTCTTCACCTTGTTCATAGAGGAATTGAGCAACAACTTTACTAGTCAAAATATATTGACGTGCCAAAGCTTGATTCTGAGATATTTTCGTTCTGGGGCAGAATCTCGCTTTAGATTGTAGAGGCGAGATATTGCCCAGACACGAAAATAGCACCATATATGGTCTCAAACCGGTACGGAATTAGACCCAGCCCGTTGTAGTCTAGAAAGTAGTTCTTTAAAATTTTGAAGTGGCCCAATTTAAGTCATCTCTAAGTAAATTGGTCATAATTAAAGTGTATTTATTGCATGTGTGTAGTTTTTGTGTGTTATATGATGAGTTTAAAAGTTGTTTTTTGTGTATTCTCCAGGAACTCATTTGTTGGCGGAAGGATTAAAGATGTACCACCCACCAGCAGTCAGGAGTTTTTAAAGTGGTGAATTTAAACTGTGTTACAACAGAGTGAAGATTTCTGAAAAAAGGAGATGGCTAACCTATTATATTTTGGGCATCATTTGACTCAGATAGTGTTGATGTTTAAAGTTGAAGACAGTATATAATTCATCAAGAACAGTGGAATCCAGAATTAAGCCTCAAATGTGACTGATTTACTATAGAACAAAGAATACGAAAATTCACCAGGCCGACACCATATCTCGTCGCGCAGTACAATTACTTTACATTATAAATGTACAGCTGTAGCAAAAAGCACAACTATATACACGGGTTGTAATGGCTTGATGTAAATCAGATTGACTCATTAGTGAAAGTGTGATACCTAATATAAATACTCATTACTTACTAAGATGTGGTATCCATAAAACAGAGACCTCACTCATAAAGGTATGATATATAACTTATAACAAATATTATGTCCTCGTTTATAAAGGTGTACTATATAACATAAGTCCTCACTAGGAAAGGTGAAATATAACATTAGTCCTCAGTAGTAATTGGGTGATATATGACACAAATCCTCACTTGTAAATGTGTTATATATAACATATGAAGCTGTGACAATAAAAAACATCATAAGTCCACTATTGCAAAAGATGTGATATATTGTACAAAAGTCCTCACTTGTAAAGGTGTGATATAAAACGCAAGTACTTACTTTTAAAGGTGTAATAAAAGGAACAGGCACAATGCCTATTCTCCCCTCGGCATTTTTAGCATACCACCATCTCTCCTCTCCTTTTGATATTATTTCTAGAATTTCACCTTTTATAAACGGTAAATCGTTCTGGTTCTAGAAAATAAATAATTTAAAAATACTGAGCTCTTTTCAGAATATTGTATTTGATTTGTGAGTTATTTTAAAGTTATTGAATAAACGTTAACACATATAGCTATAATGATGGGCCACGTTAGTTATTCGTAACTATAATTGCGATAAAACAGTTAATAAAACATAAAGATAGCTCTACCAGTAGATAGTAGTAATATAAATAAACAAACACTCACACTGCCGGGAAAGTCTGACGTAGTTACCACTTTCAGCCTTGGAGCCTGAAAATTAATCATTTGACAGTATAGATTAATGGCAGCGTATGACATTACAATTTGACATTAAAAGTCAATCATTTGACATAGTGTACAAGTCATATGACATTATGTATAAACCATTTGGACATTACATTACTTATAGCGGGCACGGTTATTGCGAACTTCCGGTTATAAGGAACAATTCTTTTGGTCCGAATTTTGCCCTTCTTTATTTAATATAAAAAATATGGTTATAGGAAATTATCGCTTACAAGGAACTCATTTCTTTGCCCCAATTAAGTTAAAAGTACACAAAATTACACTTTTATAACCGACTATCAGTAAACTTTCGTTTTCATTGGCACGGATTAAAACTCGGCCGAATGTACCGTTTATTGTAAAAATTATGTACTTCAATACAGCTGTGAAAATGAATTTAATATTTAATTAGCAGTAAGTAATAGTTTTCTATTTAGGATATTTTAGCATGAGTTCTTGTCACCAAGGTTAAACGATTATTCCTTTTATTCTATTATTTCTTTTCTCTAATAGCTTTGCTCGATAAAAATTATCTTTCAACATAATGACGCATGCTATTTCTTGAGTAAAATCCATTGAAATGTACAGAAATGAAAAGAAATCTACATGTATATCCTTCATAAGTAAATGTCACCCTAAAATTAAAATAGACGATACTCAATATACAGGGAGAAAAATCGAAATCTTGTTTATTCTTAATCATGGAAATAAATTGAAAAGCGCTGAGTTTGGAAACAAAATATGATATTTTATGAGAAATTAAGAAAGGGAGTAAAACTAAAACTGAAATAGCAAAAGATTTTCGAAACGAAAATATTCTAGAGGAGGATCAAGCGTCACATACCGTATAATTATGCTAAATTATGGAAAATATCATTATAGGAATGTTAACACAACAATTGAAGTCAGGTCAGATGTTGACGTCTATAACAAAAATAACTTACCGGGTCCATGAGAGGTGTTTTGTTCAGGAAATGTGATGAGTAATATTCTATTATGCTTGGTACATCGTTAAATGCCGTATCTCTCTCTCCTATGTGGTATTTTATACCACCATCCTCCTCTACTCGTCGAATAAGATATCTGCTTAATGCCCCACCCTCTCTGTAAAGTAGAAATTACACTTACATGAATGACATAGCAACAGTATCCCTCTCTAACAAAGACACGTGTACATGTATTATGTTTCTAACTTAAATATTTCACCATCTCTATGTTTAAATGTTGAATTTTGTTTAAGCCGGTGCTAGGAGGCATGTGCAGTAGCCTGTACTGTCCAGTACTGTCCTTGAGTAGGCTAAATGAAACCTTTTCAGTTTTGTGTTAAATGAGTTATTTATGAATTTCATATACTCTTTGTTTTCTTTGTTGTTGTATCTGTTAATGTTGTTGTTGTTGTTGTAGCTGCTGATGCTACTGTCGTTGTAACATATTGTTGTTGTAGCTGCTGATGCTACTGTCGTTGTAACATAAGTTTAGAACATTTTCGCTTAATGCTTCATATTTTCTTTCAAATATTCAAACATACACAATTTATAAACCAAGATAAGATTAAGAGAATTGTTTTGATTTCGTACTAATGTGAAAAAAGCAATTCTTAAGTTTAAACCTAGTGAGATCTTATATCATACAATATTCTAAGAATTACTATAATGATTTAGTTGTCTCTGTTGATGTGACTGCAAGTGTGAGCAACGTAATTGCCACCCTGAAACACATATATGCATTTAAAAACAATCTGTAATATTCTGTATTTTCAATCACATTTTGTAAAAGCATGAACAGTTGACTTATATAACATCAGAAGTACTTACTGAACACAAAGAACGTAGCTTCCAGTACTTGACAAACAATCCCGGACAAGAAACACGCCATCCGTTTCTACATTTTTGAATATTTCCATGGTCTCATTCCTTGTCAAGGGTCCAAAATACCAACTGAAAAATTACCAACGACAATGGGATAAATAAGCGATCTTTAAATAGGACAAGTCAAAATACTAACTGAAATCAGAACAAATATCAAATGTAAATGAAACGGGTCAAAACTAGAATACACATTGAATAACGAAACAGAACAAGGTAGTGGTTATGGTGGTGGTGGTGGTGGTAGTAGAAATAGTAGTAGTAGTAGTAGTAGTAGTGGTAGTAGTAGTAGTAGTAGGTAGTGGTAGTGGTAGTGTGGTTGTGGTGGTGGTTAGTGGTGGTGGTGGTGGTAGTGGTGGTGGTAGTAGTAGTAGTAGTAGTAGTAGTAGCAGTAGCAGCAGCAGTAGCAGCAGCAGTAGTAGTAGTGGTAGTAGTGGTGGTGGTAGTAGTGGTAGTAGTAGTAGTAGTTGTATTTGTAAAAGTAGTAGAATAGTTGTAGCGTTAGTAGAATCAGCTGTAGCAGCAGTAGCAGTATAGAATTGGTAGAAGTTGTAGAAGCAGCAGCAGTAGCAGAAGCAGAAGCTAGCAGGCAGCATTGGTAGCAGTAGCAGCACCAACTACAGTAGCAGTAGCCAGAAGTAGGTGTAACTTCTAAGTTTTTTCAGCCTTGTTTTATTTTCACGGTTCTTAAACACCATATAATGTCAGTAGAGGGCTTCCATTGAAGTTTTTGAGATCTTTGTACCATTTAACTATATTTTTTTTATTCCAGAATAACTATAATTACCGTGACAAATGACCCAAAATTGAAAATCTTTTAAATAAAATTTGGCTAAGAATTTCCTAAGCATACTGTTTTGAATTTAATTCTGAATACATTACTGTATCATCTTTAGCATATCTCTGTTCTATGTGCCTCAGTTGGTCTATACAGGAAAGTGAAATGTTATGTCTTTAGGGCGTTTGGGCCTAAATAGAGTACCTTTTATGTATGTTCTGTTCAATAATTTATTTAGAAGTCAAGGATATAAATATCCCATAGCTCACCTTTGCGTGTGTAAATCTGTCAATGTTTCTCCGAGTTTACGATATGATATGCTGCATGATCTTTCTGAAAGAAAAAAATGAAACATTCAGTTCGACAATGTGAACGTTAAGGTTATTTATCATAAGTTCGGCGGATTAAAAAATAACATAGGAATCGTTAAGAAGATCTAATACGAACGTGAAACTAGTTTACTAAGTTCGGCATATTGAGAACTTTCACATAGACACCACTGATTTATATTCTGGTCATTGGAAAATAAGGAAAATGTATAAAAAAAATGGGAAACATCAGCACCTTAAATGTGTGTACAATAAATGCATATGTATTATGGAATGTTGCCTTATTCAAATTACAATTTCGAATGTTCTAAGTTTCTTGCATTTTATTATATTAATTATCAATTATTTATTAAGTTTAAGCCAGCGAGATATAACCTTTATGATAGTATGACTTTTGGCACAACTGTTTTACATGTACATTTCTAATTGTGCTTAAATTAAAATGATGTTATTTGTGTGTATTAATCATTTACATTTTTCAAGAAAATATTAGTGATTCGAATCGGTCAATAGGGTGCGCATCGGATTTGTAATTCAAAGGTCGCTTGTTTAATCCTTGGGCGGGGCGATATTTCTCCATGACTATTTATCTAACTGGTTCAGAAATTATGAGGGTTTAGTAGTCGTTAACTTGCAAAAACATAGGTTATTTCTGGTAAGTTATCTAGGAAAGCCGGTTTGTTGGAATAGCCGCCAAGATATGACTAACATATGTTGAAATTGGCGTTAAATAGATAAACAGACAAATAAACAAGAAAAAATATGTACCATATTACTACAAACATCATATAATGTACCAAAATACCTCTGATATTGCTATGATTGTGATTAAAGTCATCTTCCTCTTTAGACACCACCTCAACTTCTCGGTGTAAATTCTCTATCATATCACTTGGAAACTCGTGAAGTTCGGACAATTTCTGTAGCAACGTCTCCGTACTGTATGACGCCGCTCCGGATTTTGATATCACCTCTAAACACAAATAATGTGTATTGAATTCTGTCTGTGCGGCCAGGTTTAACAGCGTAAGTGAGAGACGGAGCCTTTTTTCACGATATTCGTCCTCACATAGAGACATTTGTCTTGGATCTTGTTCTGAAATATCTACTCTTGTTGACAAGATCTGATTTATCCAGTTAAACTGTTCCTGTTCTAACGTGTTTCCAAACAACTCTTTTATCACTATGGCAAGGAGTTTGATGTCCCACGTGGAGATGTCGGCATTTACCGAGGAGGTATTCGGATAAATTCGTCTATAGTCATGCTGGTTTTTTATTTTACCAGTAAGAAGTGTTCTACTGTTTGAAAGAATAGCATCTAAGATTTGGCGTCTTTTTGAGACCTCTCTAATCACGATTCCCCGCAGTACTAGCGCCCCACCCTCACCTAGTAGCAGCAGGTACCGCAAATATCGGTCATTGTCGGAGCGTTCATACATGGTTTAATTTTATTTTGTGAAAGTTGAGTGTCAGTTTTTTTCACTTGCTCATTCGTTTTTAAAAACGAAACACGGCAATTAATGTGGAAATCACGTCAAGTAACTGAAACGATATATGAATATATAAATGGTTCAAAATATTAATATAACAAGGGTTTATTCTTTGCTAGTTGATATGAAATGCTCGTTTCACAAATAGTTACCGAATTATGACGGACATGGCCGGAAAGTTACGAGTACAAGAAGCAAATGAAATCCGGTTTCTTGTACACTTGTTCTTTAATGTTTTACTTTTACTGTGCGCAATATTTAAATTATGATAATTATAGCAACAAAAATGTCCGTAACTGGTCTAACATTTATGTATATCTACAAGATCATAGGTTCGAGCCCTACTCGAGTCACGACCATGTCATATGTCACCAGTACTGGTTGGTTTCAGGAAGTGGACTCGAAAGTTGCAAGAACTTGTTTCGCAATCGAGCTTAAATAAATATGTTTAAACCTAAACCTTTCTACAAATACATATTTGGAATAAGGTAAAGATTTAATCAAATATTCAAACTAGATAACCTTTAAATTCCCAGATCGATTCATTGATTTGCACAAATAACTAAACGGTAGGTTACAGTCGAATGTACGGTGGCAGAGAGGTGACATGTGTGTGTTTTTATTCATCTCGTGCGCACGAGATATAATGTCGTAGTCACGACTTACTCAGTCGTGGTCACGAGATAATTACGTCGTGCGTACGAGACACTATGTCGTGACCCCGAATTACTAACTGAGTGACACCGAGATCATTAAGTCGTGGGCACGAGATAATTAAGTCGTGCGTACGAGACACTATGTCGTGACCACGAATTACTAACTGAGTGACACCGAGATCATTAAGTCGTGGGCACGAGATCATTAAGTCGTGGGCACGAGATAATTAAGTCGTGCGTACGAGACACTATGTCGGGACAACGAATTACTAAGTGAGTGACACCGAGATCACTAAGTCGTGGGCACGAGATAATAAAGTCGTGGGCACGAGATAATTAAGTGGTGCGCAATAAAATCTCACACATGTCACCTCTGTACCACCGTACGAATGTGAAAACATATTCTACCTAATCTTAATTCATATTGAAATATGAAACCATTGATACAACGATAAAATAAATAAAAAAGATCGCGGTACAAAAGTTAAAAGATCGAGTAATTAAATGTTTGAATTATAAGATGTATTGAAAAGGAAAACCTTGTTAAATAGTTTACCCATTTATGTTTCAAATTTACGACGCAGATATCCCAATGTAAACGTCGTATTAAAATTGACAAACCGTATCTTTCTAACTTCCGCCTTTAAAAAAGAAATAAAGTAACAAGGTGAATGGTCTCACCGAGATAACGTATTTACATTTCGTCATGGCTTTTTTATTCGCAATTGATGATAAAATACATGTTAGCGCACAAAGGTCACATTGAAGACAAGTCTGTTCGAACAGTAAGATAAATTTTAAATCATATATAAAATATTCTAGGTTAAGATTTTGACAATAACAATTAATGAAAACAAGTTATGGTATAAAATCTTTATTTTATCTATAAACAACGTTTGTTCTCTTTAGGGGTATACAACTACAAGGCTAAAATTAATGCTTTATCAAACTGAAACTAGCTGCAGTGTCAGCAACAAGGTTCGAACCCGGAACATCTCTCTATCTCTCTTTCTGCCCACTGTTTACTGCTTCCAAAATTTACAAATGAGAACACAGCTGGTGAAACCATATTGGACGAGATGAGTCTAATATGATTAACTATGTTCGAGTCCGAATATATTCCCATATTGTATATGTTTAAAATTTAAGTCTGTGTTTATTTTATATGTAAAATTATACGCAGGAAACACAATATGTGACCCATATATCATAATGTTTATTATTATGATTAGGATTATGATTATTATTATTATGATTATTATTATTATTATTATATTAACATTCTTATATTTTTATTTCATTTATATCAACGATTTTGTGTATTCTAAAAATTGTACAAAATAAAACTAATTAACACAACATGACATTAACTGCTAATAATAACAGCTCATACCATGGGCCAAAAAAGGCATTCTATAAGAAACGACGCCGAACACCGGCGCAGCCAATAAGCATTATTAAAATAGCTATATTTACCTCAATGTCTGACTGTAGTGAGATACCGCTTTTATTATTCCGAAACACGATACAGCCTCTATATCTTAATATATATAAAATAATATCAAAAAATGTTATGAAAATTACCAAACAGTTACAGTTAAAACAGGAAGATAACAGGTCGATCCAATAAGAAAGTGTTTCCCAAAATCTGTCATCTGAGATTATAGCGCATGATTTATACATCAGGTACATATATACATACGTTTTATTTCTCTTCCTGATTAACTGATATGGAATGGTTTAACTTTAATTCAGCGTTCAAACACGAAGTATATAAAATAACGTGACACAATCATGTGTGTCAAATGTGTATACTACAACGCTAAAGGTAGTAAAATGCAAAAAAATAACATTTATTTTAAATCATGCTTGAAAGAGAATAAGGGATGTGAAAAAAACAGACACTTGGGGTTATGTGCGTGTCTCCCCTTCTTGATCCGCACTTGCATGCACCCTTGCAAACCGTACGTCAAAATATTTTGCATATTATTACGACCTGGTGACATATCTTGAACATAAAACTTGTTTTCCGCTATTTTGACAAAGTTTAAAAAAAAGTCCCTAAAATTTCACAATTTTCTTAAAGATAACAACGTACAATTTCATTTGATGTGAGACGACTGAAATGTTTTTCGGCACTGTTTGCCAGAGAACCAAACTCCCCACAGTGGTTACTTCCCCTTATCAGTACAGAATTTAGTTACGTAAACAGAAATAAAACTGATATAGATCTATAAAGTTTATTGTTTACCTTTTTTTCGCTCGCGAAAATATAGGTAATGCGCACGTGGGTGAGACGATTACAACGTACATTTTCATTACGAAATTTCGTTTTCCGCTGTAACACGGTTAGGAAAATGTAAAATGTGCAAAGCTTGGAAGAAAGGTACGATCGGATAATAACATGTATTTAATTATTAAAAGAATATATGCATCGACTGATTAACACCAGAAATAAATGGCATGCGATAATATAAATACTTGAAATATATGTACTGTCGATTCAAATATGATCGGGAATGGGAAATCTTAAATTAAAAAGTATATAGGGGTGACAGGATAAAAGCCAGATACGAAAACGCATTAAGAGGAAAAAAGGGTATTAAATATTACCTGTCCTGATAGTGTAGTGGTTATGGTGCTTGTTTTGCATGCGGAAGGTCGTAAGTTCAAATCCCACAAGGAGGTAAAACTTTTATTAGGCCTTTTGTATATTATTATTTTTTTACTATTTTATTTTATTTATTTTCTATTTACATTTTTTATACATGTATATATTTTCAATGTTTTTTTTTATTCACGAGAATGCTATAGCATATATAATCAGTTACAATTCAATTCAACAATTCAAACAATGCCTTCACCTCTGTAGCACTCTCAGTCGCACTAGCCCTGGCGTGGTCATCACCAGTGCCAAGAGAGTACCTCAATAGGTGGTTACCACGGAGAAATGAATGGCGAGGTTTTCATCAATAGACTTAATCAAAAGTCTCTTATCTTCCAGCAAACACTGTCGTGGCAATAGACAGCACACCTTACAACACAAATTGCGATGTCCAACGAAATGAAGATGACGTCCTTCTAACAGCGCCATAACATACACCTCAACAAAACAGCCGTGAACTTGCATGCTCGCAATCAGTAGATGATTTTCGTTGCAAGCCATTATGTCATGAGTAGCACAAAAGTTAAAAAAATGTATTATTAAAAAAGTGGACAGGCTGGGATTTGAACCCGCACCTGTATAGCTGACAGACCAGCGCGCTACGACTACACCATAATACCTCACTGCAAGTAGCTAGGCCAATACGTATTACAATATCCATACACACATGACTTACCTTTTCTGAAGTGCACTGATCCATGTTATGTTTACAACGGTTCCGAAATGGACCTTTCCGGTTTTTCGTAGCGGAACATTTAGCCTAACCTTTTCCATTAATGGACCTTTCAGGTTTTTCGTAGCGGAATATTTAGAATCATTGCTAGGTCAACTGCTCACAAACAGTATCACAAACATAAGCACGTGTTCTGTTGTGCAAACCAGGCCAACCAGTGACTATGTTTTATCTCACTGTAGCGATTGGATAACAAGTTAGCCAATTTACATAAAACTGTAAACACCGGAAAAGTCCATTGCTAGGTCAACTGCTTACAAACAGTATAACTAACAAAGCCATGTGTTCTTTTGTGCAAACCAGGTCAACCAGTGACTATGTATTATCTCACTGTAGCGATTGGATAACAAGTTAGCCAATTAACATAAATTTGTAAACACTGGAAAGGTCCTAAGCTTTGTATTTTCAGGAAATTGAAGCGTTTGTAAAAAATTGACTTTTTAAAAACGTTATGAAAGTCTATTCAAACTTGTTAACGTGTTAGACACTTAACCGTCTCATACTAATATAAGCAAAAATTTAAAACTAATTCTTGTAATAAATAATATTGTTTGGTTTTATTAGCCTGTCAATTACATATTGATTACACGGTCGATGCACACAGTATATTAATCTTCGGTAGATTTTCGGTAAGTTCCGTGAGATGTACGCTGTACGATGGAATTTAATTTAATTTGCATCTCTAAACTAAGTGTGCGCAATAGGGTAAAGCACGAGTTTATAATCTAAGTGCGACACGTGTTTTAAGTTCGAGACCTCGTTGGTCCATGTTTTTTTATTAATACTTTCAAAATTATTGAAGCTATATAATTATGATTATTTTATGTTGTTCGTTTTGTTTTACATTGTATTATATTTTACTTAATTTTGTTATGTCTATACTCTTTTTAAATAACATGTTTTAAGAAATGTTTAAAATTAAAACGGATTAAAATCAATAAATGTTCTATTCAATGCTAACAACTACAAATGCTGTCCATGATAATAACTCAATGAATCGTAACTAACGACAACCAAGTGGGACGAATAAGATCCATATGATTCTAAGAGTATATCATATATTATAATATCCAATAGCGGTCATACTTTCTATCTCCATATTGACTTTCTGAACTAGACAGCAATACAAACGGATGTTGACAATCAGTTATTTATACTTACAGTATGTATCATTTCCTAAGTAAACTGTACAACTATCGACTAGAAATGTCGGGTGGAGAGGGGGTACTATCAAGAAGAGTCTTTAAAGGGTAACACTATTTTGTCATAAATCAGATATGTCTCTTCAGCTTTACAAATCACTGTCTTAATGCATGTCATCTTGAATTCTAAAAAATGTTACAATTCAAACAATGAAATTCTCGTAATACTTTCGTCATCGGACCAAACCGAGTAAGTGGCGTTACAATTGTAATTTTTTAAGAATTATTGAGCATACCGTATAGCATGTAATTATAATTGTCAGTCAATATCTTAGAAACTTCATGGACTATTACTGCTTGCAGTTTGATTAGCTAATCAGATAGCCACTTTCAGAGGCGGATGAATGGCTGTGAAAGGAATCTATTAAATCGAGGATTTTCATGATTATTCGGATTGACAGTTAATTACTTTTGTAGAAGGTATTAATTTTATTTTGATTTATAGTCTAATTAAATTTTAATGTTTGAATGTCTAAGACTAATCAATGTCTAATGTTCAATTTATTTTTAACATTTCAAAGTTGTTAAATTTACGAACTGGAAAATGAAACTGTTAAATATCCGATATGAATGATAAATTGATGGTTGATGTTTTGTAGCGAGCGGATTACCGGGTACTTTTTTCAAATGAAGATGTCCTATTTACAACACGGCCGTAAACAGGCCAAAACACCCCTGTAAAAAATAATCATTGTGCATATGCTAGCAATGAAATTGTTTCAAAATTCAATAATCAATCATTTTATACCTCCTCTGTTAAATGTTACCTTTCTTGCAATGTCTTTCTATAAAATTTCATAAATATTTAGTATTAAACAATCATGCACTAATTCTCGTGTAACTACTTCCGTACTGTGGGCACCCAAGGGCAGACAACTCTAGTGTTTTGTTCCATCTAAAAACAAACTTGTAACTACATTGGGTTTAAGTTAGTTTTTTTTGTAGCTTAGTATTTGTTAGTCAGCATTCAGTATAGTTTATTGATTTTTGTCAGCATATATGCTTCATGCGCATTTAACTATGACCCAGTAAGGGACTGAGAGTGGTTAAGCTTTTGCAGTGCAGTTTGACCAGGCCTTAAAGCTGCAAGCCTCCAGATAAGCCAAACTATTTCAAGAAAATCAAACTTGAGAAAAATGTATTTTTTAGAAAAGTAAACATTTTCAAGATCCGAGGAATGGTTTACATGTTATGTGTGATTAATGACAGATTTTGCAGAACTTACCACAATATTTATACTGCGTTACGAACGCAGTAAGGGCTATCTTTGCATATTTTGAACTTTTTTTTGATATTCTCTTAAATTTTAAGTGCCGTTTGCAATGTCTAAATTAATATGTTTGTTCGCTTCACACTACTTTATTTTTAAATACATTTTCAAAATTGTCATGAAAATTTGCACGAATCTGGAGGCATGCTGCTTTAAATTGTTGGTATGCCTCCGCTTTTTGTATCCCTGAATGAACTGTTCCAAATTTCGAAATTAAAGCAGGACACTTCCATTACAAAAAATCGACTGTTTTTTTTGTTTTAAGCTACAGTCTCACTTACATCCCGGCAGAGCCCCGGCAGAGCCCCGGCAGACGTCCGGGGTGATCCGGGAACGACCGGGGTACGACCGGGAACAACCGGGGTACATCCGTAACTCTGCCGGCAACGTCCTGGATGATCCGGGATGATCCGGGAACATCCGGCATTCGACCCCGGGTGGAATAAAATATTTAATATCACCGGGGTGGTCCGGGATGATCCGGGAAGGTATAGCTTTGCCGGCTTCATCCTTAGCTCTGCCGGGAAAGACCGGGGTTATACCGGGAAAGCACCGTAGCTCTGCCGGCACAAACCGGGGATGATCCGGGGTATGCTATAGCCGGTAGAGCTACGGTAGAGTTACGGTAGAGCCCCGGTATATGCCGGCAGAGCCCCGGTAACTACAGGCAGAGCCCCAGAGGTTAAAGGTAGAGCTACGGTTGATCCCGGTAGAGCCCCGGCAAAGCCCGGATCATTTCAAAAGAATAACGACAATTTGCGATGCTTGCACTTGTTTGTATTAAAAGCCCTCCCATTTCCCTTCTATCCAGTATGACATAAGGATTTTTCAGAAAATCATCATGAATTACTATTCTGGAACAATAGATATTATATGAAATAAAAATTATGTATCAATTTTATCATTTTCGGGCGTTTTAAATCCACCGGGGTTCTACCGGGGCTCTGCCTGGATCGTCCTGGGCTCTGCCGGGGGTCTGCCTGGATCGACCGGGGCTCTGCCTGGGTCAACCGGGGCTCTTCCGGCGTCATCCGGGAACGACCGGGGAAGCACCGGCATGAACCGTAGCTTCACCTGGGCTCTGCCTGGATGATCCGGAGCGCATCCTGGGTGGTAAGTAGGGAACTACCGTAGTGCTGCCGGGGTAAGTGTGACCGCAACAATAATTTCATCCCGGATCGTCCCGGATCATCCCGGTAACTTACCGGGATGGTCCTGGGCTCTGCCGGGAGTAAGTGAGACCGAGGCTTTAAGTAAAGTAAATAACAATATACACATGTATATACCAATATGCGTTTTACTTCCTAGCTTTAAAGTTCATTTTATCCCTAATTGCAATACGGTTTTACACAATTGTTTATGTTTGCATGTCGACTTAAAAGATTCATATCTCACAATTAGTGAGCAGCAAACAAGCTAGCTGGATAATACGTAAACATTATGTTATCTTCCGGTTGATTTTTTATTGATTGTGAAGTAATTTTCGGTACAATGTTTTAGAATGGATAGATGCTGCGTTTTGTTTTAGATGTTTCTTGTTTACATTGAAATATTTAGGTAAGTATAGTTATTATATAATATGTAAGATTATGAGGTCATTATATATTGCTAAGTACAATACTGAATTATATTGGACAAGTAAACAGCTGTCAAACCTATATTGGACGAGGCGCTAGGCAAGTATGGTATAGGTTTTGCATCTGTATAAGAGTACTCAACAATATACGAGGCTCGTATAATGACATCTGTATTTACACCACCATTTTAAACATTTTGATAGAACTTGTTCCTTCAAGTGCTGTAGATATTTGATAGGGATATTTGGACTTGGGAAATGAAACGTGGCTAGATGGAGTCTGGTGTGCATTTGATACAGTTTTATTTACACAAAATGAAAACGAAGCATTGGATCCAATAATTGTATCTATTGAAACATCACATGGTGCAAACGCTTCAAGGTGATTAGTGAAAAAAAAAGAATGCTATGTATATAAGATAAATACTATTTTAAATATACATGATCGATGTTTTTACTTTTGCGCACATGTAAATTAATTTTTTCTCCCGCCTCTGAAATTGCAGTGACTTAATTAATGAGATGCAAACTAACTAACTAACTAACTAACTAACTAACTAACTAACTAACTAACTAACTAACTAACTAACTAACTAACTAACTAACTAACTAACTAACTAACGAACTAACTAACTAACTAACTAACTAACTAACTAACTAACTAACTAACTAACTAACTAACTAACTAACTAACTAACTAACTAACTAACTAACTAACTAACTAACTAACTAACTAACTAACTAACTAACTAACTAACTAACTAACTAACTAACTAACTAACTAACTAACTAACTAACTAACTAACTAACTAACTAACTAACTAACTAACTAACTAACTTACAAAATTACTAACTTACTAACTAACTAACTAACTAACTAACTAACTAACTAACTAACTGCATAAACTAAACTAAATGCATTTTGCTGCTTGACTGTATATAGGAAAAAACAAAAGACCACGAAATGATTTACATAAACATAAACATTGTTTAACCTGTTATACCTTGTTTTCTATAATAACTTCTGTTTATTTATTTTTCTTACTTTGAAGACGGAAGTTATTTTTTGTGTAAATGTCATAACAAAGTTTATATCGTGATAAAAGCGTCGCTAACTTATGAGCGACCTATTCAACGAGGATATCCTTTTAAATATATTATGGTACACCGTTCTAATTGCTTCACTTTTAACTCGTGTACCAAAGTTTAAACTAGTCCTGTTAAAGAGAAATAAAATATATTTGTTCGACCGTACAGTAATTAAAACCATGGCAATATGGGTCAGATGTTTTCAAATATGAAATATATAAATTTGCACTGGTAATAACACGGGCATTTCATATCATCAAATTTAGATATTCTAATACTTGATATCAATATTCATGTAATATCATTAACACACCTTTTAATTTTGATTGACATGATTGGGACCTTGTTTAAATGACACGTTTCTTTATTTTCAAGGAATGATAAACTGTAAAGTTCAGTCTTAAATTTTGACAAAATAAAGTGAAATCAACCATGTATGAACCCTGTGACAATGAGAGATATTTGCGGTACCTGCTGCTACTAGGTGAAGCTGGGACGCTAGTACTGCGGGCTATCGTGCTCAGAGAGGTTGGAAAAAGACGCCAACTCTTAGATGTAATTCTTTCAAACAATAGAACACTTCTTACTGATAAAATAAAAACCCCGCACGAATATAGACGAGTTTATCCGAATACCTCTTCGGTAAATGCCGACATTTCCACGTGGGACATCTCCACTTGTGCCATGGTGATAAAAGAGTTGTTTGGAAAGATGTTAACACATGAAGAGTCCTTCTTGATTAATGAGATCCAAGCTCTAAGAGAGAATGTCCCAGGTCAAGACTCACAACGAATGACTATTGAAGAAGAAGAATATCGTAGAAAACGGCTCAAACTTTCTGACACGCTTTTCAACCTGGCTGCCAAGACAGATTTCAATACACATTATTTGTGTTTAGAGGTGATATCAAAGTCCGGAGCGGCGTCATACAGTACGGAGACGTTGCTACAGAAATTGTCCGAACTTCACGAGTTTCCAAGTGATATGATAGAGAATTTACACCGAGAAGTTGAAGTGGTGTCTGAAGAAGAAGATCACGCCAATCACAATCGCAGATATATCAGAGGTATTATGAAGTACATTGTATAATTCTTTGTTAAACACCTATCGCTAATGCTATTTTTTACGGTGTCTCGTTAGGACCATCTCGACCCACACATAACGAAAGCACGAACATACGATGGTGAAGACAAAATAACGAAACCTCGATCGTGAAAATTTGAAAATATTACAAATGTATGATGAAAAGTCGATTGTTCGATGATGAAAAGTCGAAATAAGGAAACGCGTTTTAACTTTCCTACTTTCGACTTTACACAATCGTGGTTTTGTTGTTTCGTTCTTTCCAAATTTTCACCATCGTACTTCCGACTTTTTATCATCGCGGAAATCTTGATTCTTTATTTTTGTCTTTTTTTTTCAAATCACTATTTTTCAAATCAAACTTTGATACATATATATTCGTAATTCATTTTGTCTACCTTCTTTATTTTAAAATAATAACAAATCCTACTTGTAATACAAACAAAAAAATAAAAAGAATAAAATGAAATTTTGAACAATTTTTCGGGTCTTTCTGTCATATTGTTGTAAATGGTAACAAGTAATTGCCGAGATATTCCGAATGTCAGACATGTAACATTCCCCCTGATTTACTTTCAGAGAGATCATTCAGTGTGTCGTATCGTAAACTCGGAGAAAAATTGACAAATTTACATACACAGAGGTAGGCCAGCTTTATAAAACTTTATCCGTAATTTTCAACAAAATAAAAAAAAATAAAAAATAAAAATAAGAAAATGGTTATTTGAACGAACCAAAAGGGAACGTTTAACAAAGCTTTTTTTTCATTTTGTGCTGCTTTGTATTATTTTCATTTTTAGTTTTTATTTGTTATATTTTGAGTTGGTATTTTGATGCGTTTTACTTTCAGGTGGTATTTTGATTGATTCATTATGAGTTGGTATTATTTTTGTGCTATTTTGAATAGTTTAATTTTCAGTTGGTATTTTGATTTCAGTCACCTCTGTTTGTAATTAGATTTGAATCGTTTTATTCTCCGTTGATATTTTGAGTTTTGTTAACTTGCTGATTCGACTGCCTTTCTTCTCTTAGAGATTTGATTAGTTTCATTTCAAGCTGTTTATAAAGATACATTTGTATTTATTCTAGTTGGTATTTTGACTCTTTGTATTTTCAGTTGGTATTTTGGACCTTTGACAAGAGATGAGACAATGGAAATATTTAAAAATGTCGAAACTGATGGCGTGTTTCTTGTCCGGGATTGTTTGTCGAATTCTGGGAGCTACGTTCTTTGTGTTCAGTAAGTGCCTGTAATTTTTGGAAGATGCACATGATTTGTTATTAAATCATAGAAAAAGATAAAAATAGAATAATTATAATGTAAAAACCATTTTCCTGTGCTAAGTTATAATAGGAATATTTTTTGATTGCCATTGTTGGTACATGTACATGCACGAAACAATCAAATCTTCACTTGTTTTCTAGCATAGATCTATTAATTTATATAATTTTTTTTCACAAGGGAACTTTACATTTGCGTTTTTTATTTCTTTCATAATTTGCATATTAATTGTTTATTTGTTTGAGCCTATCAACAAAATAACATTACACTTATAGACCTCAGCATCAAGCTGTGTTGAAAAGTCGCAAGCACGATTGTGTTAACACGAAATTAAACCGAGCTTTCACCATCGTGGTTTCCTAATTTCGACTTTCAACATGATACTTTCAGTCTAGTAGCATGGTAGAATATGATGCTACTACCAAGCATATTTTCCGTACTTCCACTGGTGTTTTACCTTCTTCTAAATTCATCCATTACACAAACATTTAAGGGTAAGCTTTTTTTTCAAATTGTTATGTGAAATAAGAGAAAATGCAAGTTTTGTGGTATGAAAACTATCATATCTTATTCGGGGCTAGATCTACAAACTGCAAAATCTATTATAAAGACATAAATCAACCTATCACGCTTACTTTACAGAGAGGGTGGCACGTTAAGCAACTATCTGATCAGACTTGTTGAGGATGAAGACGGTATAAAGTACCATATCGGAGAGAAACCATTTCAGGACGTTCCAAGCATAATAGAATTCTACTCATCACATTATTTGGATAAAACGCCTCTCATAGACGCGGTACGTCACCTAGTTTATTGACATCATGTATTTGACGTCATATTAAGTATAAACATTCTGTTTCTTATGTTTTTCACAATCCTGTTGTAATTCACTAAATCTATCAATATATCACTGTTTAAAAAGAAAATATGAACAATTGACAATAACACACAGTGCGAAATCTCAGATAAGGCACACTTCTTTAGAAAAAGTGTGCGTTATTTCAAATGAAGCACCGTTATCTAAGTACACTTTTAGGCTGTAAAAAGACCCTGGGGGTATATGGCTTTCAGCTAATAAACATTTTAATCCCTTTTCCTGCTTGGAGGTACTGCTTGTATAAAACCATTTCAAAAGTAGTCATACTCGCTATATAATCTATTTCAAGTTCCCAAGATATTAAAAACTGCTGCTCAAACAGCGGTTAGCGCAATTAATACCGCGTCACAATCAGTTACAGCAATATTTTATTCTAACTAATCAGGAACAACCACCATACTTCTGATTGGTTCTTGTGGTATGGTGTTTACAATAAGAAAAATTATTGGTCGTTTACATGTACCATAAAAAGTAACCGAGGTTACTAATTTAATTTTTAAGGGAAGAAAAATATAAATTGAAATTTTATGTCAAATCAAAATTCTTATCTTGATTATCATGCTATAAAACAGCTAAAATTAATCGAACTCGACTGATATGTAGAAAGCTAATGGCCTGGGGCGGCATCTCGATTTTTTTTCCTACCCAAAATATTCTTGGTCTGACGGCCAAATTCAAGAATTCATTTCTGTATGTAGATACATTGCAACAATCTGTTCATAAAGCGAAATAGCCCCAAAAGCCTTTACAAAATTATAGATCTTAATTCCTCAATATTTGATCTATCTTACTAAAGTCAGATTTGATAAATAAATCTCAATAGCTGATAGATGATATTTAAATGTTACAGCTGTCCAATCGAAATCAGCTTGAATAAACAGAAAAGAAAGAAATAAACATATCTTTATTACGAATCTTGAAAGTTTGGTTAGTTTTGATGAGTAACCAGATACGAGTACATCTATTTATCACACACCAGTGCCGCTTTTGCGACTCCGTAAAAGTGGTATTGCACGGCCGTGCATACATTTTGACGTGACGTCATTTGCGTTATACAAACAAATGTAGGCGCGTCAATGAAAAATGACTTTTTCACTTTAAACAATCTTCTTTTTATCTCACCTGTCACAAAGTGACAGGGTGAGCTTTTGTGATCGCTATTCGTCCGTCGTCCGTCCGTCGTCCGTCCGTCGTCCGTAAACTTTTACTTTAAATGACATCTCCTCATAAACCACTAAGCCAATTTCATCCAAACTTTACAGGAATGTTCCTTTGGTGGTCACCTTTAAAACTTGTTCAAAGAATTTAATTCCATGCAGAACTCTGGTTGCCATGGCAACCGAAAGAAAAAACTTTAAATATCTTCTTTTAAAAAACCCTTAGAGCTAGAGCTTAGATATTTGGCATGAAACATCTTCTAGTGAGTGTCTACCAAGTTTATTCAAATAAAAACCCTTAGGTCAAAACTGGCCCCGCCCCAGGGGGTCATTGATTTTCCCTACATACATATTGTAAAAACTTAAAAAATCTTCTTTTAAAGAACCCAAAGAGCTAGAGCTAAGATATTTAGCATGAAACATCTTCTAATGAGTGTCTACCAAGTTTGTTCAAATAAAATCCCCGGGGTCATTGATTTTCCTTATATGTCAATAGCAAAAACGTAAAAAATCTTCTTTGAAAAAACCCAAATAGCTAGAGTTAAGATATTAAGCATGAAACATCTTCTAGTGAGTGTCTACCAAGTTTGTTCAAATAAAAGCCCTGGGGTCAAAATTGGCACCGCCCCGGGGTCATTGATTTTCCTTATACGTGTAAAGCAAAAACTTAAAAATCTTCTTTGAAAAAAACCCAAATAGCTAGAGTTTAGATATTAAGCATGAAACATCTTCTAGTAAGTGTCTACAAAATTTGTTCAAATAAAAGCCCTGGGGTCAAAACTGGCCCCGTCCCAGGGGTGTCATTGTTTTTAACTATATGTGTTTAGTAAAAACTTAAAAAATCTTCTTTGAAAAAACCCAATGAGCTAGAGCTTAGATGTTTAGCATGAAACATCTTCTTAGTGGTGTCTACCAAGTTTATTTAAATAAAAGCCCTTGGGTTAAAATTGGCCCTGCCGGGGGGTCTATATACAGGTGAGCGACCTCAGGGCCATCATGACCCTCTTGTTTAGGTATGTGATAAATAGAAATATTAAATTCGTGTTAGGTTCATTACTGAATTTATTGAACTCGTTGAAAAAAATAACATTATGCTCGTCAGAGGCTCGCATAATATAATTTTATTCAACTCGTTCAATAAATTCAGTATTGAACGTACACTCATTCAATGTGCTCTGCTTAAACACTATTATGTGGAGTGATTTACAAATAATTTAAAATGTCTGGTGATATTTTGGTTTATAGGCTCCAAGGCAGAAAGTTGTAACGACGTCAGATTTTCAAGGCGCTGTAAGTTATATATGTATTTATTCCTTTAATATTATTGTATTTCTGTACTTTTCAAGTTTTAATGAAGAAAAGTACGGTACATGTATTGTTTACAAAATTAATGTTTTACTTGTCAAAACATATTCAATATTTTAACGAAAATTAGCTTGAATCCGGAGACATGCTTCAGATCTTTAAATCATCAGCAACAACCAATAACAAAGCCCACAAAACATCGGTAAAAAAACTTTTTTAATACCATAATTGGAGAAAAGCTCGGAATTCTACTTTTATTTTAGAATGAGAATGATCTACCGTTTATAAAAGGTGAAATTCTAGAAATTATATCAAAGGGAGAGGACAGATGGTGGTATGCTAAAAATGCCGAGGGTAGAATAGGAATTGTACCTGTTCCTTTTATCACATCTTTAAAAGTGAGTATTTACGTTTTATATAGATAGTCTGATTTTTATTTCCTGTTTATTATGAATATAATTATAGCACTCATTTAAATATTGGATCCCACTTCAGGTTTACGAGATTTAATATGGAGTATAAAACGTATGTTTTGAAAAGTCACACTAGTCACACTATAGGTTTTCGTCACACCCGCAATAGTACAGCTGGTTAAGTGATTACGTAATATAAGAGAGGTCTGTGGTTCGATCCCTACTTTTGCCATTGTTTTTAGACCTATTATGTCTTAAATTTTTGAAGTATTTTTAATGAAAATGGCTCATTGCTTGCAAAATTGTCTACACAGATATGAAGAAACTTAGAAACACTGATTTATCTCGTTTTGTGTCGTCTTTTACAGTACTGAAATGACATTAATTGATTTAAATCCGAATGAATTTTAAATATTTATTATTAAACCATGTTATTTCAAAAGAGTATAGTCTTTACTAAAATAGGTGCAAAACATATCAAAAACAAATAGAACAAAATAAAACAATTATAGCTTCAATAATAATGGAAATAATACTAAATGGACATACGCGGTCTCGATCAACACGTATTATAACGGTCAGTATAATCACATCTTACAACGTACATCTCACGAAATGTACCGAAAATTCATCGAATACTAATATATTCTGTGCATTGACTGTGTAACCAGTATGCAATTGAAAGGTTAATAAAATCAAAAGTAACACCTTTACAAGTACATTTTATCACATTTTATCACACCTTTACAAGTGAACTTGTATGTTATTCGTATAATTTTGTGTCACAGCTTTACAAATGAATACTTGTGTTTTATACCACATGTTTAACACAATACTTATACGTCACAGGTAGACCTGTATTTGTGCCGTATTTATCACTTTAATGATATGTGACATTAATAAATGTATTTCTTAAACCTTTTAAAGTGTCAATTTGTTATTTGTATGTGTTGGTTTAAATTTTGATAAGATTTTTTTTTTCAATGCAGGAAGACAAATCTGCGAAAAAGGAATGCGGAGCGGAAAGGACGCAAAAACCACAGAAAGATGAATCATCTGTAAGTTTTATGATATTGTAATTGGTTGCCTTTCTAGCAAATAATATTTCACATAATTATGGTGGCTGATTTAGAACACAATTGTGCGTCGTGTTGTCGCTAGCGACAGCACGACAAAGCGCCAAACGCGCGTTGTCGGACTTTCTTGTCGTCCTGTCATTAACGATACACGCCAAACGACGCGTTGTCCTGTGGCGTGTTGTCGCCATGTCACATTGTCGTTCGACTCAAATCGAAGGATTGGCTATTGGATAGAGACAACACAACCCTTATCGTTCTCGCCTTTTCGTGTTGTCGCTAGCGAAACGCACCAAACGGCGCGTTGTCGCACTGTCGTCTTGTGGCTAACGTACCAAGCAAAAGGGCGACATCGCGACAACGCGCCGTTTGGCGTGCTTTGCTAGCGACAGGACGACAATTCGACAGTCCGACAACGCTCCGTTTTGGTGCGTTTCGCTAGCGACAAAACGAATCGGCGATAACGATATAGGTTGTGTTGTCGCTATCGACAACGCACCGCGATAAGTGTACCAAACCAGCCACCATAAAAGGAGTTTTTGTCAAAAAAAGTTTTGACAAAATGTTAATGAAATACTATAAGTAGTTGTTATTGTTTTATAATGTTTTTGTGTTTGTGTTTCTATATGTTGTTTAGAATTTAAAATTAAGATATGTTATTTGTTTTGTACGATCTTCATGTGTTACCTTTTTTAAATAAAGATATTATTATTATTATTAAATTATTAATATTATCATTATTAATATTATTGTTATTATTATTATTATTATCATTATTATTATTATTATTATTATTATAAAATACAGTGAATGTTCTTGTTTATAACAGTCTCCACTGGTACCTAAGAGATTACCAGCAAAGGCAGTTGTTACAAAAGCGAGGATTTCGAATCCATATGACAAATCTCAACTGACTCTTCATGTATGTATCACACCTTTAAATCAGGTTCTATATAACTCCAAACATTTTACTTTAGTTACCTCCCAAGCATTTTGTTAGTCCCAAACTATTTTTTGATATCCTCTCCTTACTAATATACGAAACGGTGGAAAATAAGACCCCACTTTTTACTTAGTGCTATGTATGTTTAGTCTTTAATAATAACGCATACATAATCAAACACAACTTCTCATTAAGTCCCCAATTTTAAAATAAGTTTCCAATACATGGTACAGACGTTTATGTAAAGCCGAATATTTAAAACAAAATCAAGAATAGTTTTATGTCAAATGGGTTCGCAGCCAGCTACCACACTAAATGACAAAAACAAAAGTGATTTGTCCAAATAAACTTCCAAACACAAAGAAAAAAGATGATTTTTCTTCTCGTTTCTAAGTATTGAACAATACTAGTACCTTTACACTGGACAAATGGTTCTGAAATATTATAAAATTTCATGGATAAAGAAACGATATATCTGTCTTGCTTGCATCACGTCTTTTTGACCTCATCGTGTTTGCAATAGCATTCTAAGCTTTTATGTCAATGTTATTATTGGTCCAAGTTAAATATGAGTTATATATCTTATAGTAATTTTACATGTTTGCTGCATGCTTTACAATGGCATGGCTATGTCCAATGGGCTTACAGCTTGATTACAAAACTTCCTACTGCTGTACAGGAACAAAACATTTTGATAATGAACATTTAAGCCGCGCCATGACAAAACCAACATAATGGGTTTGCGCATCCGCGCAGTCTGATCAGGATCCATGCTGTTCGCTTTCAGTTTCTCTTCTTGTTATAGGGTTTGTAAGCGAACAGCATGAATCCTGAAGCATGAACATGTTGGTTTTGTCATAGCGCGGCTCAAATTTATTAATTATATTGTGTTTTAGGAAGGGGACATTGTACTTGTAACAGACATGTTTGCAAATGGACAATGGCGTGGAGAATGTAACGGTGATATTGGAGTGTTTCCGTACAGATATGTGAAATTTCTGGATGAAGTCTGAACAGTCAATACATGAAGGGACTACAGACTGTATCAAATTAACGAATAAACTACCAGAGAATTATTGGAGATAAGTGACGTTTTAGACAACACTTGAATTGTCAGTACGTACGAATTAAACCATAATTATATAAGCGACATTGAGAAGGGATAATGTTACTCTCAGTTACAAAAAATAAAGAAAAATAGCGTTAAAGAATCAACATTATTAGACCATTAACAAAATACATTTTGTTTCACGATATTTGGCCAATCACTAATTTATTCAAAGAAATAGTTATGTGTTGTCTGTACGTTTTTACAATAATATAGAAATAATGATATTGCCAACTAACTTTTATGTTTATCCTGCATTACCTAAAATTTAAAATTAACAGTTCCTAAAACCAGTCAATATAAGAAATTCAGCAGGCTAAGTGTTATTTTTTGTATGACTTTATCGACAATTTAATATAAATTTTGTATACAATATCACACACTTGGTTTGTTAACCATCTATCGACAATGTCATACACTTGGTTTGTTAACCATCTATCGACAATGTCATACACTTGTTGCATTACCCAATAATCATCGTTACAGACCATACCCTGTATTCATTTTGTATTTGTCATATTTTGTGGTTTTGAAATGGTGATAACACCTATACAAATATATTTCTGTTGACACATACACAGGAGTTATTTCATTCTATTTCTTTAATAAATTTATTGTTGTATGTGCAGATCTAGCATTGATCAAGATTTTGCACTAAAAGTCCAGAATCCATACCCCAATCTTTTTAAATAGCACACCTTTGTGCTTCATGTAAAACTTCCATTTGGGGGAGGGGTGACGTTAGTATCTATATTACAAATTCTTGTTGCACGAGCTATCCAGCAATCATAAACTTGTGATCCATTTGTATTAACGGAGATACGATCAACTCCGAGGAGTCCATTAGATATTTAGGCGCATTTCTAAACCAAACACTAAATTTCAAGGAACATGTCAAACGAAAGTGCCGTACTGCAATGTTAAACTATCTTAGAATAAAACGTATCCGAAAATACCTCACCAAAGAAGCAGCTGAAATACTAGTTATAGCACTCGTAATGTCACACTGTCATTCTTTATGGTGTATCCGATTTTGAATTGAAAAAAATGCAACGTGTTCAAAACATGTGCGCTAAGTCAGTTCTACAACGAAAGAAATTTGACAGTTCAAGGCAAGCATTGTTCGACCTTCACTGGTTGCCCATCAAATCTAGAATCGAATTTAAAATTTTGACTTTTGTATACAATTGTTCAATCGGTCATGCTCCAAAATACCTTTCTGAACTCTTAACCAAACAAGTACCAAATACCCGACTACGTTCAGCTAAAACCTCTGAGAACTGCTACGTTATTCCATTCAATAAAAGAAAAACATTTAGTGACAGAAGTTTCGGAACTATTGGTTCAAAATTGTGGAATCCGCTGTCTTTAGAGTTGAAACAAGCTAATAGAAAGTTTGATTCACTATTTTAAAATCTGAAATGAGATAAACACGAGTAACGTATAACTGATGACTGACAGTGTGATGAATGTGCAATATAAATGAATGTTTTATTCTTTTTAATCTATTTGTAATCAAGTTACATGTATGTAAATAATCTTATCTCATGCTACATGTATAGTTTTTTTTTCAATCAGTTTTATCATTTTATGGTCTCTGCAATTTTTTTTTAAAATATGTTAATTAGAATTGTATGTAAAAGCTTTTATTTCATTTGATGTTGATCCACATATTCTTATGCATTCACAATTTTATTCTTATTATTTATATGTACTGTACAACGCCGTTGAATATTGTTAAATAGAGACAGGCGTTTATTTAAATAAAAAGTTTCAAGTTTCAAGATGTATTACCTATTTTTTGACAATGTCATACAAGTATTGTATTTACTATTTAGCTGTTATCCTTCTTTTAAATATAAACTTTGTTCTAATATAATATTTAAAGAAAAAAACCCTGATAGATATATCTACATTACAGTCTCTTTTGGAATGTAAAATAAACATCTTTTGACTACATACAGGGAAAATATGTTATGTTTTAAACTCTACACACTACAAGTAATCACAGTATGAATGCTTAGTGAAATAAAAAAAACCTGGCACTTTTTATGTTATACATTCACTTAATCAAATTAGACATATTCAGGGAGAATTTACTAGATTACAATAATTTTTGCAAGAAAGGAGTATTTTACCCAAACATGAGCATAGTATATCTTTAAACTTGCATTTTTATGTTGTTTATTTGAACTTGCACCACACTGCTCTTTTCTTGCATATTTTTTTTCTGTTTGTATATTTGTTTGTAATGAAAATGTTAATATAGAAGTTAACTCCAGTATAGAATTAAAAATGTAATGTTTTATCAACAGCACAACCTTGTCGACTCAAAAGGTTTCAATATGTATAGTTAGTTGATTATATGAAATGACGTCATCGTCAAAATGTAACATATGATTTGACGTACTTATTACAATACAATATGCATGATCTTAATATTGTCTTTTTGTTTGAAACAAATTTGCTCCATTTTTAATAAAGTACAACATTTCTCATATTAATTAACATTTCAATCTTGAGTACAATGATTTTAGTATATAATGTCGACCTCCCTATAAATTTCGCTGTAAATATTCAAATTGTGTGTGTTTTGCTTGTTTTCAATCGCATCAAATTGTTTTATAATTCCTCTTATTTGTCCTCTGTGAAATTGCTGATACTGATTAAAGTTTCAATACAATGTGTTTGTTATTTCAATAGAATGCATATTAGGCGAACACAACTGGTTTGCTCTTAAATAATAAAGTTTAGTCAAAATGGCTTTGACTCATTACAGAGATATAGATAACAGAGATAGGCAACTTCCAAGCCAGTTAAGATATCACGCATGCTTGCTAAACTTAAAACTTGTAGCAAGTAAAACCAGATATCAAAATCAGTAAATTTATACATTTCCACAAAGCTTATGCATTTCTCTATGGCTGCAGGTAAAACATTTACAGTTCCAATTAAAACAAGAGCCATGTCAACATGGCCATCCCCCGCCGAATGTGTTTGCTCATTGGAAGAATGTATATATAGTAGAGCAGAATAATTCCATTTTAAGAGGTCTTTTGGTAATGAAAACTGATGGCTGAAGTGATTACAGATTTGAAACTTATGTGAATACTGATGGCTGAAAATAACAAAGGGCAATAACTGAAAAATAATGCAGGGTAGAGTTATCATTCTTGTGTGCTGCAACCCTCCTCAGTAAAATCTATCCACCTATGAAGTTTCAAGTTGATACCTCAAATACTTTTTGAGATACAAAATAGTATGAAAAAGAACAAAGGGCAATAACTCAAAAATTATATAGGGAATAGTTATCATTCTTGTGCACATCATTCCTCCTGAATAAGATCTATCCACCTATGACATTTCATGTTGACATCTCAAACACTTTTGAGTTATGCTCCACTCAGGTGAAAAATTAAGTATGAAAAATAACAAAGGGCAATAACTCAAAAATTATAAAACGTTATCATTCTTGTGCGCTGCACACCTCCTGAGTGAGATCTATGCACCTATGAAGTTTCATGTTGATATCTCAAAGGCTTTTTGAGTTATGCTCTGGACAAAAATTAATTTTGAAAAATAACAAAGGGCAATAACTCAAAAACTATGCAAGGTAGAGTTATCATTCTTGTGCACTGCACTCCTCCTCAATGAGGTCTATCCACCTATGAAGTTTCAAGTTGATACCTCAAATACTTTTTGAGATATGCTCCGGACAAAAATGTCGGACGGAAGGACGGACGGACGGACGGACGGACGTTCTCACAGGACAGTAATTATGTGGCTACTCTATTGTTCTCTCTATTGTTCTTTTTAGCCACACAAAAGAAAATAGCCACATAAAAGCATTACGGAATGAATGACATCAAAGAGAAAGAACAGTTACCTATTGTCCCTCTAGCCACATAATTACTCTCCTGTGAGTGCGGAAGGTCGGACGGACGGACGGAGACTATTACTATATCCCCCGCCGCCTTTTCGGCGGGGGATAATAAATGACATATCCTGTCACATATTCACGGAATACGACCACGGGAGAGCCACGAATTAATTTCGGCATCGTCCGTAGCTACCGTACTGGTCAGCTCCGTATTGTGACCGTAATATTGTATATCCGTAGCGATCCTAGACAACTTTTGCTTCTTTTGACTTGTTTTGCTCTAATGGCAATTGGGTATTGCCATAATGAATCAGCATTTTGTATGGAAGTAAAATACTACTATGTTGACATTTTGCTACCGTTATGACCTTTACTGTACATTCAGCGCAATTTTCTTCAGTTGTTCAACGTTAAATATGCTCTAAATTCATTATTTAAACATTATTAAATACATGTTTGACATTTTTAAAGAATTAAACAATATTGATTTCTGAGTCATAATGTGCCTTTAAAGATGTTTTAAATGTAAGACACATTAGTTTGAACTGTAAAAACTTATATTTTGGTAGTTTGGTAACACGAATAGATGATTGGTTGGTAACACCAATGGAATATCTCTACCACGTTCTTAAATCTGTAAGCTACATTTGATAAATTAACATTTTATTCTTTGAGACATAATGCGGGCTTAACTTTACAGTTGCACCCTCCGATACATTTTGTTTTGTTTTTTGTGTTTTTGTTAAAGGTTCTAATGTAATAATATTAGTACATTTTGATATCACTGGATTAAAAAAAAACATTTCTGTTTCAATTGTTGTTATTTTCAAATAATTTCTGATTAAAATCTGATTTATTGTAACAACTCAGACATCAAACAATTTACTTTTCATTATCAAACAATGTTTAATTACAAACTGATTTTAGTTAATGAACTTTTGTTTTTGTTCCGCAGCTATAAAGTATTTATTTTCTCTTTTAATGTTAGAGAATCGTCTATCAATGAGAATTAAAAAAAGAATCATATGATGGACAAAAATAATTACAGGTACTTTTCAATCGGTTATCTTTTAAAGGGACGCCACTGAACTTGTTTTGATCTTACGGGACTGGAAATATTTCTATCCGAGATTTCTATGCCATTCGATGTAGGTCTGGACTAAAAACTTGTATGCAAATTTCTAGATAATTTTCTTACCCCGTTTTTATAGAATAATTATTTTTGTTGTACAAAATGACGCAAACATGAAAAGCGTTTTTCACCCTAATCGGGCTTGGAATCACGCACAAAATCGATATTCAATTTAATTCTGTTTTTAATTTAAGTGCTTCTTTTGACCTATGTAAGAATTTCAATTTTATTTTCATTTTCATTTTTTTTCCATTAAAGTGCTTTTTTGACCTATGTAAGTATTTCAAATTTTATGTTTTTCTCAGTGAAGCTCCTGTAATTAAAACATATCATTATATTTCATATTAGTTTTTACGGTTCAGTTTATGAAATTATTGCACTATGACATATTGTAACGTAACATAACACAACATAGCTCAGTAAATCTCTGCACAACACAGCACAGCATAGAACAGCTCAGCACAACAAAACACAGCTCAGCACATGACAACACGACACAGCTCAGAACAAAACAACACGGCTCAGCACAACACAGCTCAGCTTAACACAGAAAACACAACACACCACAGCTCATCACAACACAGAACAACACAACACAGAACATCACAGCAAAACACAGCTAAGCACAAAACAACACGGCTTAGCACAACACAACACAGCTCAGCACAACATAGAAAAATACGACACAACACAACTCAACACAACACAGTTCAGCACAACATAGAACAACACAACACAGCTCAGCAAACTCAACAAAACACAGCACAATACACCACAACATAACACAGCTCAGCACATAATAGAACAACACAACTCAGCTCAGCACAACATGACACAACACAACTCAGCTCAGCACAACACAACTCAGCACAGCACAACCCAACGCAACACAGCTCAGCACAACATAGAACAACACAACACAACTCAGTACAACACAACATAGCATAGCTCAGCACAACATAACAACACAAAACATCACAGACAACACAGCACAACACTGCATTACATTACAGCGATCTTGCTGTAATGAACATGTATTTCAAATTCTTTCTATTTTATCTTTTAACAGTGTGATACCAATATTCATTCAATGACTATAAAGATATGCCGTGTCTGGATGTTTGCAGCTGTTTTTGATTCACATGTTTCATAGCCTCCTATTCCACTTCTAACGTTCTGTTTTAATTATGTTCCGCCTATTGTTTTTTATTATGCCACAATAGTATAATTCTGAGCTTTTTAGTGAAATGACTTCGCCATGTAAACAGATTATCAGTTGTTTCCGTAGTTAAAAAATAAATTTATTAAGCATTCCCATCCATGAACAGGCTAAATAAAAGCGATCCTTGAACATTGACAATTTAGCCGTATT